CTTCTTTTCTTTGTGGGCGTGAAGTGGGATTTCTCAAAAGTCAAGAGTACGAATTTAGCTTTTCCAAAAGTCAAGAGTACGAATTGATGTAGAAGATCTGTTCAAGAGCATAAATTTGATTATGTCCAACAAAATCTAGTTTCAGATTAGTGGGTCATTCGCATAGATGAATAGATCACTAATGGGACTGACTCAATTTGAATCGACTACAACTATTTAGTTAGATTTTCCGTGTAAAGTTATGCTACATGTTGAGCCCATGCAACTCTGTTACTAAATCACAGGATTTGAGTGGCTTGCTATTTGATGCAGTGTACAGTTTCACGAAATTATATTTCGATAACTGTCTGCATTGACTTGGGGAGGTTTTGTTCACATCCTCGACAATAACGAAGACATCATGGCCACGAAAGTTGCACATAAAAGATATGTTGGAGGTATGTTACCAAGTTTCTGGGTGGCACTAGGAATTATCAAAGATTATTTAATCCTCTTTTGGCAAAGCTTATGTGTAATAAAGAAGTTGTATCTGATATTTAAATTTAAATAAATGGAGGATTAATCACTCACACACAATCACCACAGGAATAGTCCTCGAGTCTGCGTGCTTAGGAAACAAATCCTATACTAATTGATAACTTTTGAGAGTCAACCAAATTTCAGTTCCCATAGCTAATCATTCAAAAGTATCCCCAACTATACATGATATAGTCAGAAATCCTCTTGAAATATCATAGTCTGGAATATCCTCAAGTCATCTTCGGAAGGTGACATGTATCTCTAAAGCAAATATAGTAGTATCTTTCACAAAAAATCATCGGAGTAAATAAAGAAATGCTCTTGTTCACTTGTTTTCAGGCCTCGAGGCTCCTAGAAACAGCTTGGAACTACAAATGGAGACATCATATGACTTGTACTCTGCGAGAGACAATATACTGGTAACAGATATTGTTAATCATGGTTTAATCATTTACATTTCCCTGGTGTGTGGAACATTTACATTTCCGTTTAATCATTGGGTTCTGTCGTGCGCAAAATGAAGTTTGTAACTGAATATTATTCTGTTGCTTCTGTTGTATAATAGTGGTCGGAACTCTGAACCCCTGTTTGCTTCTTGGATTCATGCCCGGTGTAAGATTTTGATTTCAGAATGGGCAATTTTTCAGATCTCTTAGAAATATATTTCCAGGGCTAGAATGACCCCTTTTGGACTTGGACTTTGCCCCTTTTTTCTTGATAGTTGCTCATATATTTTTCTTTTATATATTTATATTCACCTGTTTAGAGATGGTGGGACTGTGTGACAGAATTTGGATACCTCTGACCTTGATCATTGGCCATTGCAAACTTTTTTGGGTTCTTGATTTACTATTTATGTTATCTGGCTTTTTTATTGCTTGCTAGTTGGCTAGTTAAATTCAAATTCATAAGAGCTAAAGCCTATTACCTACCAACATATTAGCCCCAAAAGATTTTAAACCTGGCTTTTATTTTTTTAACGTATCGCTATATCGAGTTGCTATATGTATTTTCAGTATACTCCATATGACATGGGAAATGAGTCATTTGGTACTGATTACCATTTGACTGAGGCTTCAATCAAGAAGCTGATCAGTAGAGAGATTTCTGAAAAAGCCTACACCCGACAGAATGTGCCAAGCATAGTGGCTCGGCTTATGGGGGTTGATGTGTTGCCTTTTGATTCAAAATCAACAGCACGAGTAATTGATACAAAGAACGTGGATCCTACAAGCAAGTCGATGGACAAGAAGACATCAAGAAAGAGTTTGTCAAAGTGCTCCCAGCAGACGGAGGTTAGTTCTTTTGGGCATTACGGTGACACAAATCATGTCAAGTTAAGCAAGCCCAAACCTCGAGAACATCCTCAAGAAGAGGAACTGCAGAAATTTAAGAAAGAGTTTGAGGCATGGCAAGCTGCACGTTTCAAAGAATGCACTGAATGTGTTGACGTTAGTTGCGATCCATCACAGTTAATCGCACAAGAAGACCTCAACAGAGAAAAGATGCTTATTTATAGTAATTCCAAGAGAACCACAAATGAACCTAACCATACGAATGTGAAAATTGTAGATCCTTATTCGAATAGATTATCAAGAGCAAACTGTAAGGATTCTAAACTGATTGACATTGTTTCTGGACCCACTAAGATTGTTATCTTGAGGCCTGGCCCTCCTGAAAGGATCGATACCGTGAGTGACAATTCGTGGAGCACCTCAGAAGATGAGAGAAGTGGTTGTATAGAAGATTTTCTTGAAGAAGTGAAGGAAAGGCTCAAATTAGAGCTGCAAGGTAGATGTCCTAAGAAGAGCACGTCTATAAGAGGTGGAGGAATTGAGACCCCTTATTGGGAAAGACCATTAGAAGCACAACCAATTATAGCACGAAATGCGAAGAATTGTTTACTTCGATCCGAGTCTACAAGATCATTTATGAGTGAAAGGTTTCAGTTTGTGAACGGTACACCGGAAAATGATATGAAAGCAGAAGCAAACCGTGGAGTTGCTTTCTGTGATAATCTTTCACGATTTTCTATATCAAATTATGGTGGGAAAGCAGTGCATGCTTCGATTAATGACAGAAATGGCAGTTTTATGAATAAATTCGAAAAAGAAAGTGGTATGCACGATAATGATCTGTCTCCTAGGAACCTCATCAGATCTTTGTCTGCTCCAGTGACGGGAACATCATTTGGGAAGCTTCTTTTAGAAGATCGCCATGTATTTACTGGGGCCCAAATTAGGAGGAAGCAAGAAGTGATTGAGAAGGTCTCCTTGAATATTAAGAAACAGAAAAAGGACAAGTTCAACATAAGAGAGAGGGTTTCGAGCTTTAGATACAGCTTGACTCTCAGGCACAGGCTTCCATTTCGAAGAAGAGTTAAGTCCGCGGCTGATCAAAGTAGAAGCAACCTCTTGAAAGAAGATATCACAAGCGGGCCAAGAGTTGTGACGTGTTTTTGTGAAAGGGAAACACATGTGAGACATGTATCATTTTAATAGACTAGTTGCATTCATTCCGACTCACTCTCACTTTTTTCACCATTTTTATGTAGGAGAATTCCACTGAAGTGCCTCCAAGCCCTGCATCTGTGTGCAGTAGTGTTCAGGAAGAATTCTGGAGGCAAGCTGATTATCCAAGTCCAATATCATCATCAGCAGCTGGGCATCATCAACTGGAGGATAGCGAGATGTCCAATGTTTTTAGTGAAATAAACTCAAATTTGAATGGTTAGTGGTTGAAGATTATCATAGTTCCTTTCCTCAATTTAGAGTTTTTAACTACCCTACTTGTGGTATTTTCAGTAACACTTTCTTAAAACATTCGCATTCTCTAAAACATGAAGTGGGCCAGTTGCCACCTAAATAATTTTGTGTATTTGTTGCCATGTTTTCTATGAAGAAAATATAGTTTGCAGAACACTATTACTTTAAAAGTCATAAATAGACTTTTCCATTTCTTTTATAGTTGCTTCTGTATGGTGTTAGATCAAGATTTTTATTTTCTCTTGAAATCGCTTCATCTTTAAAGATCTTAATCGGTCATATTTTAAAAAGTTGTTGGGCACTTCAAATAAATTATTGAATGACACTGTATGCCACTGCACCAGAAAATAATGCGCGCCCGCGTGTGTGTATGTATACTTGAAAATTTTGTCACGTAATTCGTCCTTTTTGTCATACTATTTTGGATAATTTGCAGAGCTGCGAAGGAAATTAGATCAATTCAAGGGATCCTTTTCGGAGGAAACTATGAAAGAAGAGCAGGTTAGTGAAGGGGAAGCAGACATAGAGGACCAAACCGAAGCTTACATTAGAGATTTGCTTATTGCAGCCGGCTTATATGGTGGTGTCACATTCAGTAAAAAATCCTTGTCAAAGTGGGACCCACTCGGTAAGCTGATTAGCAGTAGGGTCTTTGAAGAAGTGGAAGAGGCTTATGTGGAAAGATACAGGTGTCGAGAAAACCACAAGCTCATACTTGATCTGTTGAATGAAATACTTCCGACTTTGCTTCGAGAACCCGTGTGCATGCCACGTGTTAGCTTGGGAAAAATACCAATTAACTGGCCTGTGCAGAAAAAGCTGCCTCCATCTGGAAGGGAGTTACTTTCACATGTATGGAGTATTATTCGGGATCACATATACCCTCCAGCTGATAGATCCTTTTACGCTCTTGATAATGTGTTGGCCCGCGATTTTAGGTCAACCTTGTGGTCCAATTTGATGGATGATGATGTGAATGCTCTCGGAAGAGATTTGGAAAGCCAGATCATTGGAGATATGATTTATGAAATGGTCGAGGATATTGTGACAACCTCAAGTTGATAAAAGTCTGCTCCTTACCGCCGAAAAAAAAAAAAAAAACGATTATTCCGTGCCCTCTGAATAATCGGAAATGAGCATTATCGGCATGAGAAGCAAAGGTTGTCTTAAAAGGATGTGTTTTGAGTGGGAGGTGTGTAGGGAGTTTGTGTTATAAGATGATTGTGAGTGCGTGATGCAGTTTGCTTGTTAGTTGTAACTTTATAATTCGTTATATTCATTATTATATTCTTATTGTATTCTTATTGTGATTGAGTTGAGTTGATGCAGGAGGCTTAGTGAGAGACCACAAGGATTGTTTGGTTCTTGTTTCACTGTAATTATTGTTGTAGAGAATGAATGGAATTTTGTAGAGCATATGTTGGGATTGCCCATTTTGGTTTTCATGTTTTATTAGACTAGTAAAGTGCACGTGTTGTGTACGTCGTGATGAATGTTTTTTGTCACTTAAGTTTAATAAAATAAATAATTTATTTTATTAAACATGTCATTGCAGAAACCAAATAAAATATAGAACAAATGAGTTCTTAATGTATTTTTATTTTCAAAAATAACATAATGATGTCCTATTATAAAAAAAATTAAATAACATACTACAATCCCAAGAAGAATATATGAAAAATGAGTCACCAATGGATAAAAACATTAAATAACAAAATAAGGACTTAATATATATTATAGATGCATTAGTACTTTTATTTATTTATGTTAGATGATTCAAGAGTGATTTTTATTTTTTTTTCTTTTATTTCTTTTTTTTGCGAAAAGATTTTCATTCATTTTGGTTTTGACGTTTTCATAAGAAACATTCATACCGGTTGGAGCTTAGTACATCAATAGTATTGCAAAATTCTTCTTAATTCATTTGGCAAAAAAATACTTTCACTACAACAATATAATGAAATTCCAACGCAAATATATTCCAATGATATTCCAACATAAATTTCAATAGATATTCCAATGCTATTATTTCCGTTGGAATTTTTCAATTGATTCCAACGGAAATTCCAACAAAAAATATTCCGTTGGAAATGAGTTTTCCATTGGAATTTTGATTTAGACGATTCCAACGGTAGATTTTTCAATGGGGGTGGAAATCAAAATTTCATGGAAATTGCATATTCTAACGAAAATTCGTACGGTAAAACCCGTTGAAAAAATAGTCGATGGAAACATCAAATTTCACCTAAAATTCCGATGAAAAACTCATTCCAATGAAATATTTTCGTTAGAATTTCCGGGAAGCATTCCAACGTAAGCTATGCCATTAGAATATACGTAGGAATTCCCGTTGGAATATATTATCGTGGAATTTTTCGTTGAAATATAACAATTTTTTTGTAGTGTTTATTCAAACACTTAGAAATATTCTGGTCAAACATATAGTCAATTAATGATTATTGATCTTTATAATGTATTTTGGGGAACTTTTATATCTCCTACGTGATTTATAAATATTTACAACTCTACCATGTAAATATAACTAATTATGTCTTTACTTAAAAGACCACATTTAACTACACTAATGCCTAAAAGGAGTTACCATATCCATTACAATCTCAATCCCTTGATTTCCGTTGTAAAAGACCATATTTAACTACATTAATACCTAAAAGGCAGTTACTATATCCATTTCAACCTCAAAAAAAAAAAAAAAAATGGGTTCATTTATTTTATTTTATATTTTTTGTTTTATCTTTTATAATTCATTAAATGGGTTTTTCAGTTTTTTAATGGTATATATACAGTATTTTAATGGTATATATATAGTTTATTTTAATCGTTTTTAATGATATATATCGTTTTTTCTAAATATTACTCTTTTTGAGAATATACCGAAAATATACTGAAAATATACTAACTATAAACTCTGAATACCATACAAATAAAACGCTCCACCCTTAAATGTCGTGTATATTCCATTACAAATACAAAAAAAAAAGCATGTATTGTAATTCACGCAACTGTTCAAGGTGGATATATGTTGCGTTTATGTTAGTATATGTTCACTATATGTTTAATATATATACATAAAATATACCATCAAAAACTGTTGGTGTGTGTGTTGTATACATTTCAATGATTATAGTAAAATATAAAACATAATCATGGTATATATAATGTCGGTATATATACTTATAATACTAACCGTAATGATGGTATATGTATTGTATATGTTTTCCATGATTTTACAAAATATAAACTATACATATACCAAAAATATACTGAATATAAACCATACATATAACCGGGGGAACGATACCAACACGATACAATATGAGGGAATAAAAATATACCGAAAGTATACTAAATATAAACCATACAAAACTTCAAAGTTCCAATTACAGGGGGACCGATAAAATATGAGGGATGAAAAATTAATAACATGTTTCTTGTTGTGCTTGGACTGGCGCAAACGTATCAAGCACCCCTGCCGGGACCAAGGGCCGCCCCCGCCGAAGGACCTATCCGTCCAGACCCACCACAAGACAGGAGAAGGGGAAAGCGCCGACTGAAAAAAAAAATGCACAGTCCAAAAATTTCACCATCTCTTCACACAAAAAAAATGCACAGTACAAAAAAAAAAAAAAAAAAATTGCACATGATTTTTCCAGAAGCCCCCAACCTCATCGCAATTTTTTCAAAAAGGGTAAATAGGATTAGTTGGGCTGAAAGAGTGGATAATATGCATTTGGGAAATTTTCAACCCTCATTCTCGGCATTCCTGCTTTTTTCAACCACATGGGTTCGACAGTCATCTTGAACAGATCCGCAAATTCCATCTCGGATACTCCACCGCCACTCGACCCATCAAGAATCCCGTTTTTTCTCAAAGAGACCTCAGAAGCCCCGGGCCCACGTGAAAGTCCATCTTGGCGGTGCAATTTTGCAGAAAGATAATGGGGGATTTTTTGGGATGATATTGTTCGATTTTGGAGATCTCGTTGGCGGTTTTATTCCAATAACTAAGGAGAAAATCATTAATTAAAACATCCCATAATTTGACAGATTGACTTCAGCCATTAAAAAATGGTATATGTGCAATATTTTAGTGTTGAAGTTGCAAATTTCAAAATAAATATTAATTGGTGTTACATGTGTAATATAATTATTATAGGATAGTATGTGGAGTAAATTCCTCATGTATTTTTACTAACAGCTCATGAATCTCTCTGAAACAACCAACCGTGTCATTAAAGTTATATATATATATATATATATATATATATATATATATATATATATATTCATTGTATAAAATATTTCATGACTCTCTCTATATAGACAAATTGGTACCTACCAAATGGAGGCATCGCCCTACAGGGTAAGAATGAATTTTATCTCCAAATAAATAGTTGAATTATTTTTGAAATCATCACATTACATGAAAGTACGTACTATAAAATAATTGAACATATGTTCAAGCACAATACACCAATGAGATTATAAATATTCCTATCAAAACGTGACAATTTCATTCAAACATTTAAAAATGTTTTGATCAGACTCTGACATTCCTTTTGCAATGTTATTTATTTGAAAGATAGACGAACTATATAATCTATTGTTTGCAAATCATTGACTATCTTTTTTTTTTTTTTTTTCGAAACGATAGAGGCGATATATTACTCAAGAAATAAAGTTTGGGTACAAAGTACAACTGAAAAGAAACTAGAAAATGGGAGGACATGCACTAAGGCGGCCTAGAACCTCACAAACAACTAAAACGATCAAAACATAAACAACTCTCCACTGCATAGAGCCTAGAGAGCGAAAACTACAAACAAAGGCCAAAATGAATAGAATAGCACTAAAAAACCTAAACAAAACACCCAGCTACCAGGAACAGAGAAACTTCAATGAAGATGGGAGAAATCGAACCATTGTCTATGAGCCACTTTAACTATCTGAGGGGCAGAAATATATGTTACATGCTTTGGAAAATCCAAAGATTACGAGCCTTCCAGAGCCACCATAGCATGTAGGTGGTCAACTGGATTCTGGCCTCAGCAACCTTAGATTTATCAATGGAGCATAAATTAGACCACCAACACCTGAAAGAAGAAGAAAAGTATTGCAGACCATCCCAAAGAACAGGTGCAATATCCCACACCTTGCGGGCTTTCTCACAAGAGAAAAAAACATGTTCAATGGTCTCAATGTCACAGCCGCAAGATTGACAGGTAGCATCCACTTGAATTCCTTTCTTCAGCAGGTTTAGTTTCACAGGCAGAGTTGCAGTGATACACTTCCAAATGAAGTGTTGAATTTTACCAGCCACCTTGACTTTCCAAGATCTGTTGAAGATAGATTGCAGGTTGCTTGGGGAAGACCTGCTGCTAGGGAGATCCAATGCCAGCACTTTCTATTGTGTGAGGTAAGCATATGTACTTGCAACAGAGAATTTCCATTTTCTATCCAAAGACCAATAGAATCTGTCCTCAGAACCTGGTTTGAGTGTATTTATGCTAAGGATAGCCTTCCTGTCATTTTTATCAAAAAGCTGTGACACAAGCCTTGAGTTCCAACCAGTGCTTGAAGCATTGAGAAGTTCCTTAACCCAAATGATTTGACCTCTGGCAATCTCCAAAAGGTCAGGCTTTGGTTTGGTGATGGTAGCAATCCAGTTCACATCTGCCAACCTGGTTGAAGCACCATTTCTGATTTCCACTGAAAAACCTTTAGCAAAAATGGGGATAACATTAATCCAGTTAGACCAAAGCCATGAACAATTAGAAGGTTTAATAGCTTCAAAGATAGAACACTGTGGAAAATATTTGTCTTTGATTATCCTGCTAACCAACAGGGAAGGCTGTGAAATAATTCTCCACAGCTGCTTGCAAATAAGAGCCTTGTTGAAGTGTTTTATATCCTGAAATCCAAGACCCCCCACAGATTTTGGGAGACTGAGTGAATTCCAGGATTTCGAATGAATCCTTGCTTCTTGGTTATCTCCCTTACTCCACCAAAAGTTGGCACAGAGCTTGGAAATTTCAGCACAAAGTGTGGAGGGTAGAAGAAAACAAGACATAGAGAATATAGGGAGTGCTTGGAGAACAGTTTGGATAAGGATTTCTTTGCTAGCAGTGGAGAGGAATTTGGATTTCCAATTCTGAAGCTTTAATTTCACAGCATCCAAAACATATTGGAAAGCTTCAATCTTGAATCTACCAATACCCAAAGGGAGTCCCAGGTATTTGGTTGATCTGTGAGCTGTGATGCCTTGAAGAGTAGAGCAAATTCTGGATTGAAGATATTGGGGGGTAATCCTGGTGAAGAAGATAGCTGATTTTCGCAAGTTAACTCTTTGACCTGTGAAAAGTCTATATTGATCCAGCAAATTCAACAGAGTGGAGGCTTGACTAATTTCAGCTTTGCAAAAGAGTAAGAAGTCGTCTGCAAACAACAAATGAGATAAAGGAGGGCCATTTGTGGATAGTTTCATACCAGCCAGCTGCCCAGAGTTAAGAGAATGAGAGATCAAAGCAAATAAAAGTTCAGCAACAATGATGAATAGATAAGGGGACAAAGGGTCCCCTTGTCTAATTCCCCTTGAGGGATGCACATACCACTGACCACACCATTGACTTTAAATGAATATGAGCAAGAAGTAATGCAGATCATAATAAGATTCACAAATGCTGAAGAGAAGCCCATTTGAATCATAATCTTTTTAATACAAAACCATTCCACGTGGTCGAAAGCTTTAACGAAATCAAGTTTCAAAGCTATAAAATGATTTTTCCCTGAATTGTGCCGGTTCAAGAAGTGGAAAGCTTCTTGAGCTATTATGACATTGTCTAGAAGCTGCTTGCCATCGATGAAGGCAGACTGAAAATCACTAATACAAGCTTGCAAACATGTTTTAAGTCTTAGAGACAGGATTTGGAGAGTACCTTATAGACCATAGTACACAGACTAATTGGTCTGAATTGGGTAATGTACTCAGGATTCACACATTTTGGGATTAGAGTGACAACAGTATGATTCCAATATTTAAGCAATAATCCATTCTAAAAAAAGCTTTTAATAGCAGCAATAAGTTAAGGCTTAACAATGTCCCAAACTTTTTGATAGAAAATAGCAGTCATACCATCTTCTCCAGGTGTTTTCTCTGGATCAAGGTTGAAGAGTGCAAATTTGATTTCTTCTTCGTGCACTGGTTTGAGGAGATCCTGATTCATGTCCTGGGTGATTGAAGGAGAGATGTGCTGAAGAATGGTATCCCCTCCCCAGGAGCCCTCTGAAGAGAATAGGTTGGTATAGAAACTAGCAATGTGATCTTGAATCTCCTTCTGAGTGGTGCATTCTCTATTCTGGCTTGTGAGTAATCGAGAAATAGCATTCAACCGTCTCCTCTGTAGAGTGTAGGCGTGGAAGAAACGAATGTTGTTGTCACCTTCCTTGAGCCATCGAATTTTGGCTTTCTGTTGCCAGTATAATTCTTCAGAAAGGTGAGCCTTCTCTAACTCTGCCTTTGTGGTTATCCAGGTATCCCAGTTGTCTAAAATGTTATTTGTTCTCAGGGTCTCAAGCTTGGCTGTCATGTCAGATGATCAATTTTGGACTGATTTTGGGACTTGAATTTGGAACTCTAGACTATTAGGGCTTTTCTTGTGAATTTGATTTTCTCTTTCAGTTGAAAGAAAGGAGTACCAGATTGGTTCATACTCCAAGCTTTCTTCACCACCTCAGTGAGCCCATCTCTTAACAACCATCGCTTATCAAACTGAAATCTTCGAGTTGTTTTCACTTTGGGAATTCCAGAATCAAGCAGGAGTAAGGAGTGGTCAGAAGCACTTCGCATGACATTGGATATGGAAGCATTGGGAAAAAGTTGTAACCAGTCTACAGAACCAAAGCCTCTGTCGAGTTTCTCCTGAATAAGCCCTTCCGATTGCCGATGGTTGCACCAGGTAAACTTATAGCCATTCATCTTAATTTCTTCCATGGCCATTATATTGATGAAGTCATTAAATCCCATCAAGCTTCTGGCACTTCTGGGAGAGCCGCCCAATTTATCTTCACAATAGCGAATATCATTCCAGTCACCGATCATAAACCATTTGTTCCCCCATTTGTGCTTTTCAGCTTCTAGTAGCATCCACTGATCAGCTCTAACAGAGGCGCTAGTGCTAAGGTAGACAAATACACCCCAACTGAGTTCCCCATTGGGAAGGGAAAATTCCACAGCAATAAAACAATTCTGGTAAATAATTTAGGCAATGAGAACTTCAGGAGACCAAAGTAATAGTAAACCGCCACTCAAGCCTATTGGATCCACCAGGGAATATCTATCCTCATAGCCCAATTTCTTGACTACAGATTTGACAAAAGAAGAAGAATTTTTAGTTTCAGAGAGAAAGAAGAAAGCTGGGTGGTGAGATTTAAGAATCTCTTTGATTTGGGAAACTGTCGAGGGCCCACCCAGTCCTCGACAGTTCCACACCGCAGCTAACATTGGTCACTCGGGTGCCACTCAAGGCTGGCAACCTCCACCTTTTCTTTAGATGCGTTCAACTTCTTCTTAGTTTCAAGATTGGTGTCAAATTCATTTTCCGCAGTTATAGGGTCTGTGGTTTCAGGGAGTGATCTTTTGCCATAGAGAGACAGGGCCGTTGAAGTCTTGAGGTCATCTTGTCTGGTGAGCCGACCATCTTTACTTGCAGCTCTTTTCCAGGTTTTGAGTTGAGGTTTGATTTGATTTGTCATGAGTAGATCTCGAGAGTATGGTTGGATTGCAGTTATAGGATCCTGAGAGGCTTGTGGAACTGTTGATAGTTCCAACTTACTATTAACTGGTGTTGGTTTGGTTGGCTGGTTAATCACCAGGATCATCTGTGTTGAGGGTTGGATACAGTCCTGGGAGTTAGTAGTTGGATGCACTGAGGGGGAAGTATTAGTGGCATTGGAATCACGGACTTTGGGTTGGACATTATGAGTGGCTTTTCCTCAACAACCAAAAGCTGGTTGCTTTCTTGAATGTGACTAGTTGATGTTTTTAAAGGAGATTGTGGCATTGGTGTGAATGGTGAACCATAGGGAGGTTGTTGAAATCCAGATAAGCTTGTTCCTGCCCAGTGCTGATTATCTGAAGCTCGCATCAAGTCGCCAAATTCACCTTCTTGCAATGAACTGTTAGCAATATCATCTATCTTTTTTTGGCAACTTCGGTCCAAGTGTCCGATGGAGCCGCAATAGTGGCACATGTTGACAAGCTTTTCATATTTGAAGCTTACAGTGACCAGCTGGTCGCCCAATCTTATAGTGGCACATCTAGGAAGAGGCTCAAGCAGATTAACTGAAACAAGGAGTCAAAGAATCTTGCCCCCATGACTTCCAGCTCCGACCACAACTGAATTTTTCAGATGAGGGAAAACTTTGCCGATTTTTAAGCCAACCTCTGTGCTTAGCCAATTTAAAGGTACATTGAAGACTTGCACCCAAATTGGCAGTTCTTGAAATACTGGGTGGTTTACAGAGTGTTTTTCTCTCCATTCCGATAATAGGAGGAATTGATTATCAATGGTCCAGTTCGTACCTTTGGCAACTCTATCCAAATCTTCTTTGCTTTGAAATATAAACTGAAAAAAATTTGCACCCAGCTCCTTCACCTCCATTGGTTGGCGAATCCTCCAACTTTGGCTCATAGTACGCTTCACACCCATCCAACTCACTGTGCGACCTCCGATTATTTTACCGAATAAGCTACGGCGGCACTCGTCGGCACTTAAGTGTATGTCGTCATGGGCTAAATCGATTATGACATTTTCTGTTGCAGATAGAGAAAATCCTTTGAGACGCTGCACAAGATCCTCATCCTGGCCAATGCACGATTGACTATCTTTGTTGTTACAATGATTTTAGAGTTGTTTGTCATAATATCTTCCAAATTCATTTGGATATGCAATATTTATGTGCCTAATCACTTCTTTAATGATTTTATTGTCCAATTTTTTACATCATACATAATGCTTCAAATTTTCAAATAAAGAGCCTTTTCTTGATTCTTCAACAATGACAAAACAAAATAAAAATAAAAAAATATTAAAAAACATATCATTTGCTAAAATATTTGAGAGGAGTAGAATTATAATTCTATTATATTATATTACGATACTCTTAGTCATATGTGAACTTTATTATTACGAAGTCATTATTAAAATCTACATTATGGGTTACAAAGTTTAAAATTTTTTAATTATTTAAAATTCAAAATTAATAATATAGAATCATTATTTATGAGAACTAATTTCTTACTAAGTCCATATATTTAAAAGTTAGCAAACAAAAACATAGTAATTTAAAAGACTTTTGTTTCTAGATATTGCTATTAGTATTTCTCTAAGAAAATTCAGAATTTTTCTGTTTCTCATAGCATTACTATTGTTTTATTTGTTTCTTATTCTATTCACAAATAGTATTTTATTTGTAAAAAGGATTAGGGAACATTTATATCTACTGCGTCATTTTTTTTACGTAGTTTTATATAATGACGTTGTTACCAAAATTTCTTATTTATTAGGCTACAACTAATATAATTACATAGCATACATGCTATTTAATATTACTTATTTATCTATTTATAGTAATACTATATTTGATAAAAATGTATTTATATATTGATTATAAAATTAAAAAGTTTAGGATTTTTATTCATTGTTTGATAGAATGTTAAATAACTAACTCATTTTCATATGAATTAAAAATATATGTTACAACCATTACGATATTCTCTTTCTTGCAGTAATTGAATAATAGTTTAACATACAACTTATTTATTTCTACTTTTAATTCTCATAGTTAATGTTGTTAATAGTTGTAAGTTTACATCCATTTTGTACTTTTTTTCTTATAAGTATGAATGTTTCAAATCTATGTGGGTTTTGATAATAGATTGGTTATAGTAGATCCTGTGGGCCTTAGTGGAGGTTTGGTTTTATAGCTGTCAATTTTCAGTTACCTTCTTCTAATCCCCAATGTGGAGTTTTTGTTTATTATAGCCCCTGCAGAGGTTTAAAAGAGGTTCAATGGAAAGAAATGCTTTCAGATAGACAGCTTTGGAATCAACCCTACTTTTCTATTGATGACTGGAATGATCTGCTGTCTCACACTGACAAAGCAGGAGGAACTTCTAGAAATGTGGCCAGTTTTCAAGGTTCCCATAATTTCATCAATGCTATGGACATGTCATAAATAAAGTTTGAAGGTCACCCTTTCACATGGTGCAACAACAGAGCTGTTCCTGATTTAGTGGAGGAAAAACTTGATAGAGCCTTTGGCTCTATGGAGTGGTTGCAGCTATATCCCAATGCAGTTGTTTCAAATGTTCTCAGAAGCTCATCTGACCAAACAACTCTTCTGTTAGATATGGGACTGCCTAGAGAAAGAAAAAAGTCCTCCTTTCATTTTGATAAAAGGTGGATAACCAAGGAGGGGTTTGAAGATGTGGTAAAAAAGGCTTGGCTCATTACTTGAAGGCACCCCTTTCTTTCAACTCAAGAAAAAAAGTCAAAAATACCAGACTTGCCTTGCACATCTGGAGTTCTACTTTCCAATCCAAAAATCAGAAATGTATGGCTGAGCTTACTCAAAAGATGGAGACTTTAAATGTTGATAAAGCTGGGCAACATTGGGATGAATGGATAAATACCAGGAGGTAATTGAATCAAGCTCATGCCCAAGAAGAACTACATTGGCAACAAAAGTCAAAACACAAATGGCTGAAGGAAGGGGATGCCAATACATGGTTTTTTTATGCTTTCACACTTCAAAGGAGGAAGCTCAATGCCATTACAAGGCTTCTCTCAGTACAGGGCACATTGCATACAACTCAGGCTGACATTGAGAAGCACATTTCTGAGTTTTATGGGACCATATTCTCTTCAGAAGGCAGTTGGAGAGGTGACTCTTTACTTCACCTAATTCCTACTTGTATCACTGATGAAATGAATCAATCCCTGCTTAGACAAGTGGAATAAGTAGAAGTGAAGGGGGCTGTGTTTAGTTTACAGCCAGACAAATCACCTGGAGAAGATGGCATGACTGCCAAATTTTACCAACATTTGTCAGACATAATCAAGGCAGTTACTAACTTCTTCCAACCAGGTATGATGCTCAAGTACTGGAACCATATAGTTGTGTCACTGATCCCTAAATGTGATAATCCTAAAACCTTGAGCCAATTTAGGCCCATCAGTCTTTGCAGTGTTGTCTATAAAATCATATCTAAGTTAGTGGCTCAGAGACTGAAAGGCTGCCAAATCTCTTGTATAAGTGATTATCAAGCAGCATTCATAGAGGGTAGGCAATTGACTGATAATGTGATAATTGCTCAAGAGGCTTTCCATTTTTTAAACAGACATTCCACTGGCCCTAATTATTTCATGGACTTGAAATTGGATTTAATTAAAGCTTTTGATCGAGTTGAATGGATTTGTATGAACAAGATAATGCTACAAATGGGATTTCACTCTGATTTTGTTAAGCTTATCATGGTATGCATTTCCAATGCCTCTTTCTCTTTCAAAGTAAATGGCTCCATCAGTGGTTTTGTCACTCCATCTAGGGGGATAAGGCAAGGAGATCCCTTATCCCCCTACATGTTCATTATTGTAGCTGAACTACTCACTGCACTCATTCTGAATTCTATTGATAATGGTTTGTTGAAAGGGTTGAAGTTGTCCAGGAATGACCCTTTGCTGTCACATCTCTTATTTGCAGATGATTCCATGTTCTTCTGCAAAGCTAACTCTGATCAAACTGGAATTCTTATGGTTATTCTTGAGCAATATAGACTATTCACTGGGCAAGCTGCGAATCTTCAAAAGTCTGCTATCTTTTTCAGTAAAAACACACCTCAGGTGCTTCAAACTACCATTTGTAGAACCTTGAATGGCATAGTTGCACACTGATCCACAAGATATCTTGGTCTACCTTTGGGGATTGGTAGATTAAAAAAAGAAGTGTTTGAGTATTTGTTGAACTCTGTGAAGAAAAAACTAACCAATTGGAAGGTCAAATTGCTTAGCTCTGCAGGGAAAGAAGTTCTCATAAAGGCAGTTATCCAAGCTCTACCTATATTCACTATGTTCTGCTTTACTTTCCCAATTTCTCTTTGTGCTGAAATAGCCAAACTCTTTGCTCAGTTCTGGTGGCAATCAGGGACAGAGCAAGACAAAGGGCTTCACTGGAAAAAATTGAGTTTTCTATCAATTCCCAAAGATAAAGGTGGCCTGGGTTTTCATGATTTGCAACTTTTCAACAAAGCACTAATTTGCAAGCAGTTATGGAGGATTGCCACAAATCCAGACCTCCTTGTCAGCAAGCTACTGAAAGACAGGTATTTTCCCCAAACCTCTCTTGTGCATGCCTCTAAAATTCAAGGTGGATCTTGGATGTGGAATTCATGGATGGATATAATGCCTCTGTTTGCTAAATGGCTTAGAGTTGAGATCAGAAATGGGATGAGCACTAGAATTGCCGATTTTAATTGGGTCCCAAATCTGAACAAAACAACACCTACTCTTATGCCAATTGCTAGAGATCATCTGATCTGGGTTAAAGACCTTATGAATGAAAATGACAATCAATGGAATGAATGGCTGGTTAAACAAGTGTTTAATAATTCAGATAGCCAGGCTATTCTTAGCATCTCCCCTCTGCATCCACATAGGCAGGACAAACTATTTTGGGGGTTAGACCATAAAGGCCAATTCTCTGTTTCTGGTAGTTATGATCACCTATGCAAACTGAAGGTTTTACACTCAGATTATCCTGAATGTAGCATTAGCAGGGCACTCAACAAAGCTACCAGATTCAGGGTTTGGAAACTGAAA